GCAAGATTCCGACACGGCGTTGGGTCAGCCGCGGCAGGGGGGGAGGTCCCGCGGAATCGTCCTCGGGATCATGGGGGGGGGGGCGAGTTTGAAATTCCAGGGCCTTCCCGTGCACCAGCGACGAGTGGGAGCTCGCCAGCTGGCGTCTGCACAACCGTCATTGTTGCGACGTCATCTGAAGCGACAACAGCTCGCTTTGAATCTGCCGCCAAAGCCTGCTGCTGCGGGCCCTTTCTTTCCCCCCTTTTTCCTCTTTTGGCCCGATGACGGATGGCGAGAACGAGCGGGGCCCTGCTGACCCGGCCACGACAGCATGCCATCTCTCGCTGGCCGAGCGGGCGGCACCGCCGTCGCCGTCGCCGGCCGGGGCTAGGAGGTCGCTGTGTAAAACCCATCGGTCCGCCCCGAGCGGTCGCCGGCGCACCATGCAAGCGCGTCCATGGCCATGCCGTCTGCCCGGCCGCCCGGCGCTGCGTCAGTTCGCCTGCGCTTCCGGCCGCGGCGCCGCACCCGTCCATGATCGGGGCCCGGGCCTTGGCCATGCCCATTGCCGGTGCCGCCTCGGCCGGGGTCGTCATTGGCCTGGACACCGGGAGGAGGCGCCCGGAGCGGGGCAGTGCGTGCGAGCGCGATGGAGACGGGGTACGTGAGCGTCCTGACCTCCGGCGCCTCCGATGGGACGCGAGCTGGTAGCAGTTCGACGATCTCCAGTATGGCGGCGTGGCGGATGTTGGCAGGGTCGTGCACGCGGCCGGACAGACGGAAGACGGCCAGGTCCTTGCGAGAGCGCGTGCGAGGATGCAGCCTCTCAATCCAGCAACTTTTCCCAGGGATGTGCTCGGCGGTGGATAGGTGCCAAGCTTGGGCGGGGATACCGCGGAGCTCGAGCTCGACGAGGTTTTCAAACCCGCCGGCGCCAGCATGCGCGAGCTTACACCATGGCCGCAGCGACAGCGCGGACCGTGGCGAGCTGATGAAGTGCTCGTCATTGAGACGATGCATGGTGTCCAGGGAGGAGAAGAGGATGAGGAAGTCCTCAGGGTGGTGTACGTGCACGGTGAAGTCGCCTTCGGAGAGCTCGAGGGAGTGGTAAAGCAGCTCGGCCACCTCGTCCGTGTCCACCTGCGGCCTGTTGCCGGTGATGGAGGCCACCATGGCGCGGCCAAGGACCCGCTCAGCCTCCTCCATCTCTGTGGATTGCGCCATGATGACCCGCACGGGCGCGTCGGGGCGCGACTGGGGAACGGGGGCTGGCGGCGGGAGCGCAGGTGGCGCTGGTGGGGTGGTGGCGCGCAGGAGGGGCCGGGGCCGGGCCGTCTCTGCCAGGGGCGTCACGGCGAGGCCGCGCGCCATCGTTGCGCCGGAAGTCGCAGTCGCGGGACTCGTGGCCCGATGTGAGGTAGCGCCTGCACCGGACGTCGTTGGTGCAGTCGTGCACCCGGTGGCGGTGGTCGAGGCAGCGAAAGCATAACCCAGCAACCTCCTCCAGAGACGGGCTGCGGCGGCGAGGGGACGAACGGCTGGTGGTGCCGTCCTGGCTCGGGCGGTGGCGGCGGTTCCTGCGCCGCGGCTGCTGGAACCCATCAGTGTCGAGCATGGCCCCACCGGAGATGCGGTGGACCTCCGAGCGGGGGCCGAGGCGTTGCCTGGCGGGCACGCGGCCAGCCGGCGAGGCGCGGCCAGGGGCCCTCGCAGCCGGCGACGCAGCAGGGGCCGGCGGGGTGAGCGCGACGTCCCTGTAGGAGCACGCCAAGGACTCGCTCTCCGAGCTGAGCTAGCGGTC